AGTGTATTTAGAGTTTGTAAAGAATAGCAACATATTTACTAATTAGAAATGTACGTGTTATATCATACCCGATCTTCTTTGTAATCAACTTACATTCAGAATTATATTTCAAGACAAGATAAAACAAAAGATATATGTATATAAATATGAAAAATATAATTAATCTTACATAAAAATAAAATTGTCTAAATTCATTCGTAATATCTCGACATTATTTCAGTTGTAATAACTTCAGAATATGAAAATAATGACGATCACTCGATTGCATAAGTCGTTCCAGCATCTAGAGACAAATTTGTTCGAAATAAATTTGCCCCTTGGGAAAAAACTATAGACAAAAAAAACGTTGTTTATCGTTATTCTTATCATTCGACTTGAGACAGACAGATTTTCATTTCGTTGTTAACAAACATTGTATTTTACTTTCTAATTTATATCGTGCAATTTTTCCTTCTTCAAGTTCTTGATGTATCATTTTTAATATCAAACGAAGTTCATTTATAGTTTCAATGATACAACGGTTACTAAAACAATGTCTGCTAAAATGTAGATGAGTAATCGACTAGATTGTTAACTTACCTGTCTAATGCAGGTGCTATACTTTTCACTAGAGAGGTTATAGGTAAAGGATTCGTCATATTGCTAATATTACTATTACCATTTAGAATAACTGGATTTGACATACTAACTACCACTGGAATGTTTTGTTCATTTAAACCTAAAAATAAAAATAAGTACTATAAATTTTAGCGAAAGTTCAAAAGTGGAATATAACCGTTGATTTATACATATCATTACCGAATCGAGAAAATTATAGTAGCTTGTTAGATCAAAACCGATTGTTGATTAGATATGCACCAGTTCCAATTTTTAACTGTAAGAATTGGAACTGTCAGGAATTGTTAGAAAAATTTTTTCTAAACGAATTCAAAAGAAAGTTTTAATTCTATTGAAGAACATACAGGTAAAAATTCAAAAGTCTTTTAAGAGGAACGCTTTTTGAAGCTAGAATTTATGAGTAATCAATTATTGAGCTCCTAATAGGACTGCTTCTATGATTCACATAACTCACTAACGATCTCTATGAAACCTTCTGAATTTCCACTGATTTTTGAACTTTTTATGCATTTCTAAGTGGAGCCACTCGTTCATAGAGATCGTTAGCACAGAAGCAGTCCCATTAGGCGCTCAATAATCGATTACTTATAGTCCATAAATTCCAGCTTCAAAAAGCGTTCCTATTAAAAGACTTTTGAATTTTTACCTGTATTTTCTTCAACAGAATTTAAAATTTTATTTGAATTTGTTTCGAAATTTTTTTCTAACAGTTTCAGTTCTTACAGTTAATAATTGGATTGTAGATTCGTCGATTATCTGGTATGCGATAAATTTTGGATTGAAATATTTCAGAAAAACTTTTCGCATCGTCTTGCTCAAAACTATTTCAAAACGTTACTGTATGGAAAGGATCAAAGGCAAAATGATGTCGAAAAACTTTCAACTATTCCAGTCTAAAAGTTATCGCGTACTAGATAATCGACTATGAAGAAGATGAATCTACAATCGGTATTGATCGAACAAGTTTTTAAAATTTTCTCGAGCCGGTGATATAAATTTTGAGTGTAATCTTCAAATGATGGATGGACAGAGACATACTCATTTTAGAATGTCGTATTTTTTTGTGTTACCTGATGTTGATAAGGAAAATCGACTGTTACCACTGACACCATAATATGCTTCGATCACGGATAGAAGAAGAGAATCATCCTCACTTGTTTCACCTGCAAATATAATAATTTCTAAGTATATTTAGAACAATGAAGAATGATTAAATTAAATTAACCTCGTTTGACAAATTCATTTGTTTTTATTTTTCTCATTGTCAAGAAACTTTTTGATGTTTTATTCGTTCCACTATTAAATTCATTTAATCCATCTTTTGATTCAATTGTTTGAACAAGACGAATTCTATTTGATGAATGTGGTCTCAAACATGATTTTAACAATGGTGACTTTTCTGGTGAACGTAAAGGTATTTTGAATGACACACCAGTACTCGTCGGACTTTTCGGTAAATAATTCGATAATGATGATACAAACTAAAATAACAGAAGAAATCGGAATGCTAATGCAAAGTATTCAGACATTAGATTTAATTTAGAAATTATCATTAGATTCAACAAATAAAAATGAACGGTTTCCTTTATGCTTCTTTAAATAATATACACGTTATAAAATATATGTATCAGACATACTTTTGATACTTGTGGTGTATGCAGTGTTTCACCATATTTGGACTCATAAGTAATATAACGAATTTTCTCACACCAATTGTTAAATTCAATTACATTTGGAAATGAAATAATCATTGATAATGATAAAGATGGTACTAAATAAAAATTCAGCAGTATGTATACAATTTTGCTAATACTAAGTAATAAACCATGGGGTACCTGTTATTTTCAAGGCACGTTCACTAAGTAATTCATCATCAATTCTATTTAATATTAAATGACTAATGAGCAGGTAATTCTTCAACAAACAAAAAAATAATCATGAGATACGTAAAGAAAACCAATTCAATTATAAAGTTCGCTTAACACTAAGCATTGACTATTTACTTCAAATTTGTATTCTTGTCGTGAATTTGTCATTGATATAAATATTAATACAGAAGAGTATAGCAATGCAATACGTTCACTCGATTGACCATTTTCAAATAAGACGCTTACAGGTGTTAAATAAAGGATTTCGCCCAACGACCATAAAGTCTAAAATAAACAATAATAAATGCATATACAATAGTTAAATGAATAAAAATAAACGGAAGAAGTACACCATAGTCTTGCGCTATAAAAGTATTTTCACGCTTTTGCTTACGAGGGAACCTTCTCAGGTGTCAAACTCCGTTTTCAATGATCTTATACTAGTTGATGAAGGAAGGTGTTCTAGTTAAAATCCTAAAAGGATTTGTTCCATGATACTTCTTTCAAGACTTATGAATTTTTTTGGGAAAGAGGTAAGGTGTCGCTAATTCCAAGTTGAAGTACTATTTTATTTTTGGCTTTTTTATTGGCCTCTATCAACTGGGGACAAAATGAGAAATGATCACGGAGATAACATGCATTTGATCCTGCTTGACAAAATTTCGTAAAAAAAAAACATGCAAAAGATCTTTATTACGAAAACTAAATCTTTTTATGTCTACAGCATAAAAGACACACCGTATGATATACCGTCATCTGAAAGAAAATATCGTTCGGTCTAAGTGGGTTACAAACATGTGGCAATGTGCAACTGTGTTTTAATGAACAATTTATCATTCATCTTTTTGTCTTGCGTCTCTTACCCATTATAAGAATCACTTAATTACATAAGAACATAAGTTTTTTTCCCACTGAAAATGATCGTAACTGTATTATATGTCGATTTTACACGGCCACGTACTGTACTGTGGTCGTCCAATGCTAGATATGGTATTGAAAGAGTTATAAAAAGCTGAGAAATACTGAAACCTATTTAACAGATGTATTGTGGCTAGAAACGTGTGATTGTGCGTCAATGTGTGTTGTATGTTAACATATGTGAAGTGAACACATCTACGCACAATCTGCTGGACTCGAATATGTTCCATTCAGTAATAAAAGATCATGGTAGAAGCATGTAATATATCTTGGTTCATCTGTATGACTAGAAAACATGATCTCGGAAATTGTACATATCGTACAATGATGTAGTGATCTAGTTGGTCGAAGTGTATTTAGAGTTTGTAAAGAATAGCAACATATTTACTAATTAGAAATGTACGTGTTATATCATACCATCATCAAGGACACATATCACATCATTTGACAATCTATGTTCTTCTTTATATTAGCATATACATTTCTTCAATTGGTGATAATAAGATAATATCTTATCACACAAGTTCGAGTGTTTCTCTGTCTATTTTCGTTTGTTTTTTGTTAAATACATGAAGTTGGACATTTACCAGAAAACTAGTATAAATTACATTGGAGAATAATGATAGTTTATGCACTTAAATATTGCAAGATCTAAAGCATGGTTATCTTAGCATAAGCTTAATTAGATTTTTTCTCATGATCTAATCAATGATTTTGTCATAAAAAAACTTAGTTTTTGTAACCGAGATCTTTTACCTGATTTTTCTTAAAAATTTGTTAACCAGATTTTTTTGAGATCTTTCACGTCCATCAACTGATATATAATCATTGAAGACGGAATTTGACACCTAGGAAGGTTTCCCTCGTTAGTAAAAATATGATTATCTATCATCAAATTCATAAAATTATCACCACTATTTTTGACATCCTTGTAATTTAGAATAACAGCAAGATTTTTACATTCTTGCATCTTAACAACTATTATCTCTCTTAAAAAACTATCCGTATGCTTACTTCACTATCTAAGCCATGAATTTTACCGTTCAATACTTCTAATTCCCATTCTTTACGTTTACGAAGTTCATTTCCTGAACGCTAAACACACATATATACGTGGCATGGTTACGTATGTTAGCTCTATGAAAATTTAAGCATCATCTATACCGCTAATTTCGAGTAATAGTCGACTGCTCGTTGCGCATCGCCACGATCTGAATGAAAATTCTAATAGAAGCAAAATACAAACAATATTCAGACAACAATCTCGTGGATTTTATGTGCATACCTCGAGATTATGAAGATATTCGTTTAATAAAATTGAATATTTTTCGATTGTATTCAATGGTAATGATAAATTTTTTATTAACAATAAATAGTTATTCGTTCCTCTAGAATTAGTTTTTGACAATATGAACTGAATTTTATCTCTACAAAGAGGAAGAAAATGCACATGTGTAAGACAGAAGACGAGATGGAAAAAAATCTGAGAGCATAAGATGCGACCTACTTATTTGTATGACAAAACAATATTGTTTTTGCATATTGTTGACAATATAATTCAAAGAGAGGATCTAATGTTGTTGCTAATTGTAAAAATACTCCGCCAACACCATTATTTGTTCTGTTAAAAAAATATAAGAATTATCAATGTTAATAAATTTGATCAAAACATACTTGATACAATTATGCAAATTAGAAAGAACATGATGGTGAAATTGTATTAATTTCTCTAATTGATTACAAGTGCGCTGAATCTCAAACGAATGTTTAAGACTAAAGTAAACAGAAATAAATAAGGTTCATATCAACAAAGTGGCAATAACGCTAACAAAAACATTGCAATTCATTCTAATTGAATCATTCTTCCAACTTTGGAAATTTCAATTCTCTTTTACTATTAGTTCAAAGCATACCATGAGCAGTTAGTATAATAAAGATTTTTTACTTGGATGTATTGCATATTGGTTGTATGATTTGAGCAAGAAATTCTTTTAATTCGTCCACATATTGCTGTTCACTTTCGATTAATGTTTCAAGAATCTAAAAAACAAACTAGATTGCAATTATGTTGTGCACAAGTTGCGATGTCGAGAGACTACGTCTCTACTGTCAGTCACAGCAAGAGATTTGGTAATAACTGAATATGAACAAGAAAGTCGCAGTATTTGAACTCTGTTTATCCTCACAGAGATGAAATCGAACAGAAGAACCAAAAATAGGCGAAACTGGCGTTTTTCCTTTCTTCTCGATTCAAATATCTGAAAGAGAAGTAGGTATACAGCTCGTAAAGCTCATTTCTTCTTTCTTCTTCTTGTTAGTATTGACGTTTTCAGATATTTTCTACGTAGTGCAATTCTCCAGATCGCTCGACTCACATTTTGCAAAAAACACGATTAAAAAAAAAACGAACAAAAATCCCTGCCAAAACTCATAATGTCTGTCGACATAATGACAATATACCATCAGCCTCAATTCAATTTACATCTACTAGTTCTCAGTATTAGATTATTTGCAAACTATATTAATGTTTTAATTATTATTAATAATTTGATCATTTAATAAAAATAGTGAGACAATGATTTTATATCCGTTTCTAACATGGCATACATAAGTGAGAACTAGGCTGTGAGTACATGTGATGTGAACGAAGCATCTCACAACATATACACGTGCAATAATATCTTCCGACGAATAGTGTAAACTCGTCAATGAAAATATACAAACGAAAAATCACTTTTATGGTTGAAAATAAAAAAATATTCTCAAATCAACTTACTATTTCGCGATTTTTTCGCATTTCTTGATATTGTGATGTTGCACTTGGAGTTGACAGCGTCGAATCTAAATGTAAGACCATTTCTTAACAAATGGCACAATTATAATCTCATACGCTTATAAAAAGTAGCAGAAGTGGATATTTTCTGTTATATAACGACTTCGAAGCGTTCGAACAAAATTTCTAGGTGCCCCATGCCTTGAATACCGACAAAATACTTCCGATATACCGTTTGGCACACCGTACAATATACCGTCGTCTAAAAGAAAATATCGTTTGGTCTAAGTGGGTTACAAACATGTGGCAATGTGCAACTGTGTTTTAATGAACAATTTATCATTCATCTTTTTGTCTTGCGTCTCTTACCCATTATAAGAATCACTTAATTACATAAGAACATAAGTTTTTTTCCCACTGAAAATGATCGTAACTGTATTATATGTCGATTTTACACGGCCACGTACTGTACTGTGGTCGTCCAATGCTAGATATGGTATTGAAAGAGTTATAAAAAGCTGAGAAATACTGAAACCTATTTAACAGATGTATTGTGGCTAGAAACGTGTGATTGTGCGTCAATGTGTGTTGTATGTTAACATATGTGAAGTGAACACATCTACGCACAATCTGCTGGACTCGAATATGTTCCATTTGTCTGTCAAAAAATGTATGCAGAAACTGCACATTTTGTACACAATTTCTTTTTTAGTGTGTAGAATAAGTTTTCAATGACCCACAGAAAAGCTGTAAACTTATTTTTGCAAGAAATCATATAGTAAATTTTCTGTGCCTCATCGAAAACTTATTCTATAGTTCTTCAAATTGTTTTCTACTGATAACTCGACAAGTTCTACAAACTGAACAGAGCAGAAATAGACAACATATTCATGATCAGCATTAATGAGCTATTAATTCATTGCATGATTGTATCTGATGAAATCCTGCCGTTATAATGACTCGCTACTATACCATTGTTTAGTCAAATTTTAGCGAAAACTGACTCCGCTTAGAATCATAGAATATATGGATAAAAGTAATAACTAAACTGTAATCAAGCAGATTTCAGAAAAAAAACGAGCGAACACTACGAAGTGTTCCCTCTAAAAATTTTAGTGAAGGAAGTCTCCGCAGTTTTAACTTTTCTGATATGCTGTGAAATGCCGCAAGTTACTTACTCACTCTAACGTTCTTCGTCATTAATGTTTTCGTCCGCCAAGGTTACGGATTGGAGGACTTTTATCTGCTTTTAAAAAGCATTTTACAAAAAGCCTTTTCATTTTTTTAACTGGTTTGAGCGAGTGACTGCGTTTTATTTGAACGAACAAACTAAGAGTTTATAATACCTTCATTAAGTTGTTTATATTTATTCATAGCAGATTCGCACAATTCAACTAATGTTGATGATCCTTATCCATTTTTATCTCCTGATAAACACCTTTTTTTGCAATCCATATGTGCATGACGTCATGTATTCATAATGTTGCTGTGAAGCGCAATAAAAGTTTCAAAATAAACACAACATTTCAAGACTAAACTATTATTCAAAGTTAATCAAACAACAACTTCATCATGTTCGAGTGTAAAATTTATAAACATATGTAACAACTAACAACAAATTGTGCTAACAAATTTTAATATACATATTGTGGAATAAGAACCCCTTTATAAGTATAATGAACTTGTTAGTTAAGTACACTAATTCCTCTTTTCAGAACGCTCTTTACAAATCATTTGTTAATAAAATCTAATGAAAAATTCAGAACTTTAAATCTCCTGCACAACCGTTTGAACAAGGGTTTTGACAGAACTCGTTAAACTTACTCTTGACAAACTCTTTAAAACAGTCAATCATCTCCTTATTTTTCCAGCATGGATAACTACCAAAGTCATTTTTTCGTTCAAAATAAAATAGAATAAAAAAATAGGTCTCAATTTGAAATGCGCATACTCTCGCGTTTCTTATAGAAATAAAATGTGGTCTCAATTTGGAATCCAGAGTTTGTTCTTTTTACATACTTTGTACACTGTTTATAATTTCGAATCACTCTTTAATTAGAAATGATAAGGTACTGTAGACACAGAAACTAACTGAAATATTTTTCAAAACTGATTGAATATTTGAAATGATTTTATCATTTATTTAATATTTGAAACTGATTTGAATATTAATACTTTTTAAAACTAAATTGAGCTGAGAATGACATTACTGGATCGAGTGGGACTGTAAAAATGTTTAAAGGTACCTCTTTTTCTCCGCATTTTATTTTTATAAGAAACAAGAGAATATGTACCTCCTAAATTGAGACCACTTTTTAAACCTAATTAATAAGCGTAAAAAAAGTGATGTCAATCATGAAACCTCGCATTATACATCGTATCGAATGGTTATCTGTCATTCGTCCTTCATTTTCCTGTTCTTCTTTGTATTATTGATACGTTCAATTGACAAACAGTAAAATGTGTTCCAGTTGTCTTGCTTATTTGTTTTCAGTTTAAAAGAAGACAAACAAGGGAACAATGCCCTAATGAACGTACTAAATCCAAATACTTGAGTATATGATAAGTAATTGAAGAAATTAGCAAATATTATTAGCAAAATTATTAATTTGTCATATACTTTTAGAAGTACTTCTTCAAAGTTGAAATACTGAGTTTTATTCTAACTAAGTACTTTGTGAAAGTACGTGCAATTTTACTAGACAATTTACTTATCAAGTGAAAAATCAAGTATTGACAAATAAATTTACCGGTGGAAAAAAGAAAGACGAACATCGGCTTCATTATGCAAGCGAAATATTTATCCCAAATGCATTTATAATATATTAATTATTTATAAATTTGTTTAATTATAATTTATTTATTAGCCAAACTGATTGTACAATCTATACTTGAATTTCATCTCTGAACTTCTCAATCACTAAGAAAAGCAATCGAACAATATTAATCAAGATAAGACTAAGTAGAAGTCTAAGTAGAAGAACCTATTAAGCAAAAATTATAAATCGTTTACGAAGCTAACCAAAAGACTTTTGTACTAATTATATGTCAAACTCTGTTTTTAACATTATAAACTATTCATACTTACAAGTTTTACATGTAAAAAGTCGACATACACAACTTGATGAACTCATATCGTCTATGATGTGAATGATTGAATAGTAAAACTGAAATTAAAATTCTACTAAGCTTGACACTTGACTATTGAACTCTTTTTAAAAGAATATTCTTTCTATATTTTATAAAGTCTGAGATGATAACCACAATGAAAAATTACAAACTAGAAAAATACTAAAAAGAAAAAAAAAGAAAAATATAATAAAAAAACATGTTTTTGTCTCCTACCAGTCACAATGACAATAGCAGCAACCATACGCAGATCATACCAATAAACTGAAATAAAACTAAGCTAAATTTCTTTTATTAAGAAAGGTAGACTATATACACAAATAAACTTGATAAAACATTTTGAATTTCATCAAGAATATATAATTAACTCGATTAACATCTGTTTCATAATTCATTGTTATTCAATAAATTATATTCTGACATCAACCGAAAACAGTATGACTTTTTTTCTTTCTTTTTTTTTTTTCTTTTCTTTTGTGATGGTATATTAAATGGAAATACATAGATTATATAGTGTACCACTTTACAAAAAAATACACGAGGAGGGAATGAAAGAAAATATGAGTGTTTGAAAAGAAACGATGAAATATTAAATATGAAATAAAAATAAATGTTATATTTTAAAAATAAAGCAAAATATAAAAATATTTGTCATTATTAAATATGTGTTGAATTCAAGTCAATTAACTCCTGATATTATATGAGAACTATCGCAAAATTGGTAACATAATTCACTGAAAACCAGCCTGTTATCCTATTCAAAGTTTCTTTCTATCATCCATGTTCAAGCGATTGAGTTCTCACGAATCAATCATTTTATTTAAATAATATCTAAATTATAAAAATAATATAGGGCTTGTCCACGTAATCGAACCAAAAAAAGTCAGTTCATTACGTTTTAAAATAATTATAGTTTTGCAAAGAAATAACATAATTGCCTGAACAATGCCTTATTTTATAGAGTAAACTGTCTTCTTTGATATGATAGGCAAGCAAACTCTCATGAGCATTCATTTAATAAGTTATAGCTCAGTATACTTTTTATCTAATTTTTTGTAACTTATCTCTATTTATAGTGGCGTTTTTAAGAGTTCATTTAATTGTCATATCAAAAAAGACAGTTTACTGTACAAAATAAGACATTGCCCATGCTCTTACGTTATTTCGTTGTGGAGCTATAATTATTTCAAAATGTAACAGACTGACCAAAAAGTGGACTTTTAAGTGGACAAGTCGATATATGAATGTGTAAAACTCGTTCAGAAAGAAATAATTGTCACACTAATCTCATCTATATTTTGTATTTTATCAGTTTTCTATCAACTGCATATTGTTTCAAAATAATGTAAGAAGTTCCCTAGTCGAACATCTTGGAACCAAGATCTTGACATCTTAGATTTTTTCGAAAAGATCTTGGCAAGATCTTTGGTACAGGATGTCAAGATACTTTTGTTCCTAAGATCTTGCCCATGATCTTGCGTATAAAATCCTAAAAATTATCTTGTATCCAAGATCTTGACTGTAAAATGACTTGTACCCAAGATCATGGCTCAAGATCTTTGATACAGAAATATTTTGACATCTTGTACCAAAGATCTTTGAGTAACCAT